CGCGGTGCCGTGCGGCGGTTCCCCTTCCCCTACGCGATTTCACGGCTCCCGGCCCAGCTCGTGGCGTGTCCCGCCCCTCAGGTGTAGGCACGGCCTAAGAAACTTCACGCTCTCCTTTGGGACGAGTTTGGTTCAAAGGCAGAAGCCCTTTTCCTTACGTTTAGGGGGTCTGTGTGTTTTCCAGAAGCTAGTTAGTAGTTCCTTTATTCTTTTCTCTCTGTTAAACAAGCAAACTCTTCTTCATTGGCATATATTTTTGTTTTCAGGTGTGGAAACGTCAATTTTGCCAGAAGAACTAGCTGTAACAGATGTGGCAGAGGTGACTGTTTTAAATTATGTTTCTTCCTCTCCTCATCCGGTTCTGTTTTCCCAAACAGAATATTAAATCTAAGGAGAATCTGTGAAAAGTATATTTTTTTTTTCTTTTCCAGAAAAAACAACAGAAGCCAAAATGATGAAAGCTGGAGGGACTGAAATAGGAAAGACGCTTGCTGAAAAGAGTCGGGGTCTCTTCAGTGCTAATGACTGGCAGTGTAAAACGTATGCCCTTTTAAAAAAATACAGTGTTCTTTTGGACTGGCACAACTCATCTGTAAGAGGATGTTTAGGATTGTCAACATAAATTTATTCATGCTGACTAGAAGAGAGCAACCAAAATCTCTAGTTATGCCGTTAGTAATGTGCTTTACCGTAAGAATAGGATTAGTTTTTGTTTGGTGGACAGCAGTTATTTAGCTGATTGGGAAGAGATAAAAAGTGAAGACTGGAAAGATAAAAGTTTCTCTCTGATAAGCCAAGACACTTCTCAGTGCATACATGGGAGTAACACCTTCATTGCGGTAATCTTATGTTTATGATTATTTTTACTATTCTTTTAAATATTTATAGAATAAAACTTATCACCTAGCTAAATTCTCTGATGTTTATCCAAGCCACCAGTTATGAGTATTAAGATCTAAATTAGAAAAAATACTATCTTTTAATTAAATACTTTAATTTTTTGAAAGGAGCTTTCAATTTTTTTGGAGCAATTTTAAGGATTTCAGTTTTTGCTAATCGGCTAAGCTCTCTGAGCAGTGAAACTTGGCTTTTTTTTTTCTCTGACTTGCCATTGCTGCAACCAAACAAAATGTCAACTCAATACAACGATGTGGCAGTAGTAAGCAAAAGCCTTGCACTTTCAGCTGCGGCAGATTGTAATGACATTCGTGAGGGCTACGTGCTTCCATCCATTTGGCAGTCTTGAAATATGCAATTAGCTTCCTCTCTAAAAGAGAGGGAGCATGACACATCCTGTGTACGTGAGCCAGGTAACAGGGATGACCCACAGTTGGCCTTTTGTCACAGCTTAGCTTTGTGCAGTGTGGTGGCTTTCCGCCAGCAGTGGTCTGCAGCGTGAGACAAACAGTTTTCCTGGACAGCACCGTGGTACCTTCGACTCAGAAGGAACCTGCTTGGTGGCACGCGTCAGGGTTGTTGTGTGTATCGAAGTTCATGGCTAAACTGTGTCTCGTGGGCCGCTGCCTCTCCTATTTGGCGTCGGACAGCATCCTGAAGATCAGTTTTTTGGGACAGAAAAAGTATAATTGGTATTTTAGGACACTGGGAGGTAGAAGTGCAGTAACAGAATGGTGTAACTAGGTGCGCATCAGCAGACGACAGTGCCTGCTCAAAAGCATCGTTTCCGTATTAACCTGTTCATTAATTCCTCTGAACTGTGAATGCCATTAGTGAAGAGTAACCAGGAATTCATCTTTCAGTAAATGTTAGACCGAGGTGCTCTGTCTTACACAATAGCTCCATGAGAGCTTGATGTGAGCACTGCTGCTGAAACATGCTGTTTGTTTTTTCTGGTCATAGGAGGAAAAGTAAGTTCCAGCCTGAATCAGGTCCACAGTCCAATTTGTCAGACAGACATCTGTAGCAGTGTGGAGGTCAGGGTTTGACGAGAAGGGGGGAAAAAACAACAGGCAAAAGAGGGAACATAGCATTAATGGGAAGAGGTAGCAGCTATCTCCAAGTGGGTGGTTTTTTGGGGGGGCGCTCCCCTTTTTCTAAAACAGCAGCAGTTCACTGGACTGGATCATTTCAGATCTAGCTTTTTTATTCGTTGTGGCAATGGAATTGCTTCCCCCCTCTTTTCCCTTCTCTCTCTCACCTTCTGGAAAGGAGATCTGGTAACAGTAGAGGTGCACCCTTTATGGATAAGATTGTTGCTGGTGACTACTTTGCCTTCGTGGAGTTCATAGCCATTTCAGAATCTGTTTTTATTAAGTGTCTCTTCACTATTAACTTCAGGTAAAATATAACTTCAGTTATACTTTAACACATGTCGCTCAGTCTTCCATTTGTGTGTTAATTTTACTTCTTTTTCCTTGATTTTTCTAGTGTGGTCCCATTCCTGTCATCTCTGTGCTTGCAGAATACGCACAGACCTTTTGCAGTACTTTGTGTCTAAGGGATTGTTAGAATTAAGTGTTAGAAGTAATTGTTATGCGTTCGTGACTGCAAATCACTGCTAATGTTGGCAAATACATTTTTATGATTTTTCTGAGCTGTGACCTCAACACTCAAACCTTTTAATTTGAAACAAAATGCTTTTTCTTTATGTTTTGTTCTTTTTCCCCTTTGAAGATGTGGTAATGTGAACTGGGCCAGAAGATCAGAATGTAATATGTGTAATACTCCTAAGTATGCTAAACTGGAGGAAAGGACAGGTAAGATGTGTATGATTTTAAAATACTCAATTACTGTAAGAAACTTCTTTTTATAAATCACAATATAACTTAATTAAAGGAATCTGTTTTCATAGCAGGGCTAGCAAAGCTGAATAATCTTTCATATGTAAATAAATTTGTAAGTTCTTAGACATTATTACTTTAGTAGCATCTAAAGTGGTTTCATCTGGAAGGTCAAAGAACATTCAGCGTAAACCGCCTCTGTGCCTAATTTTGTGACTAGGAAGTTTAAAGGAGTAATGCAGTACTTCTTTAAATTCCTACACCTGTGATATAGGTAGTGCCCATCTACAGAGGAATCAACAGTCAGAAGAACAGTGTTAGAAGCCTGTACAGATTAGACTGAGTTTCTTCATGAGGCTTATGGTTTGGTCATACTTTGATGCATTTGAAGTTCCTTCTGCATTAACAGTGAAGCTCAGGAACAACTACAGTGGAGGACAGACTTAAAATGGGATCGTAACTGTTTTTATACTGTTACCACCGAAAATGGGATTAGTCAGTGAATTTAATGCTTAGAGCATATGCACTAATGCATAAAAAACAGAGTAATGGAGAAGAGCACACAGCTTCTTCCTCAAAAGAAAAAAAGCTTGTTTCTTAATTTCTTTGAAGTTCTGGTGTCCTTCAGAGCAAACTTGTGGTCACGTTTGGGATGCGTAGTATGTTGCACACACATGCTGTGCGTTAAAGTTAGCTGAAATTCAGAAGAGCAAGTTAGAGTTTTCTACTTGCATTATGAAAAGGAGTAGAAAGAAAGCCCACATTTCCCCAAATGCATACTGGGTTTCTGTTCTAAGGGTCTGGAGCTCTTTGGGGGGGAGGGAGGGGGGTGCATTCCCCTACTCCCCTTCTGTGCCTTCCTGCCTGGTAGAAGGGAACAGCTCCCAGTGTTCAGGGCTATGGAGGGCAATAGTTTTGTGATTTTGCTTTTTTCATAGTTTTACAGAAAAGACCTCTTTTTGAAAGCTTAGCTCTTTGTGCTGCAAGTGACTACTCCAGCAATCACCCTATTTTGTGCCATGGTATTTATCTGTACTAGTTTTATGTGAAAATATCAGTTATGACTTCAAGACAAGGAACAGGTGGCAAGAACTTTATTTTAGAATTGACTTTTGGAAATGGTCCCATCACTATAGAAGGAGGACTCTCTTAATTTCTGTGTTTACATACAAACACACAAATTGATATGGCCAGTGAACGAATGCCTTTCGTAGATGGCTTTGGAACGCATTGATGAGAGGGAGGCGATGTTACTTCGTTTTTGTTACTAGCCACCAAATAAAATACATTTTTAATTAAATTTCATGATTTTACGTTTGAGTTCTGTGTGACTTAAATTGTGAATCAAAAACTGTTTTAAGCAAAAACATATTCCAGGTGACATGTCTACCCTTTCATTCTTTTTTCCTCCCTTTGAGTTCATCACGCAAACCATAATTAACCAATAGGTGAAACTAATGTTGATTTTTATTTTAGTCTAGACTGTATCTTTTTTTAACTATCTAAATGGGGATGAGAGAGATGTCCCGAAAAGTAAGTTTCCATTTCTTGATTCTTAAGGCAAACCTTGGCACGAGTGCAATTTAATGCAGCTACAGGAGGTTTTTTATTCCTGTTGCTCCCTGAGGATCTATGTTCAGCTTTATACCACAGAGGAATAACCGCAATGTGGGAGCGGGCTGGCATGCCCAGAAGCTACACGGGAGGCAGCACACACGCGGGACCTGGCTGTGGCAGAGATGCTTTGGTGGCAGCAGCTGCGGGAGTAGTCAGCAAGCGCTGCCTTCACCTTGCTTTTCATTCACCACTGTCCTGAGTGTTTGCTGCTGGCCACTGTCAGAGACAGGATGTTGGCAGCGAGGACAGTAGCCTTGGTCTAGCCCGGTGGAGACGTTCTTGGGTGGGTTCATCTACCCCACGGGCAAGATCGTCAGGCGTTGCAGTCCCAGCACAGCTCTTCTGTGAACCTGGTTGCTCAGCAAATAATCTGACCCCCCCACCTCAGTCCTTTGAATTCCATTGTGGTCTGTGTCATTTATGCGATTTAATCCATTTTCTCAATTAGGTTCCTGAGGAACTATTTTTAATAAACATGTGTGGGAACAGCTCGCGCTCCTCTTGAGATCATGTTACGTTCTTATGGCATGTATATTTATCCACTGAAGGCTTCCAGAGACTCTGAAAGCTTATTCTAAAGTTTGTGCTTAATGTAGCTGAATTCGGTGCAGCCCAAGAGATTGTCTTATTTTACCACTTTTTAAAGGATATGGAGGAGGATTTAATGAACGAGAGAATGTTGAATATATAGAACGTGAAGAATCAGATGGGGAGTATGATGAGGTAAGATTAGGTACACGTATTACTTTGGAGAGACACGTATTGTATGATTTGTGTTTAGGGTACATATGTTTGCATTTGGTTTCCTGTTGGGGAAAAGTATCTTGTGATGCATCTCTGTGTCAAATGCTCAAGGGCAAAACAGTTTGGAAATTGAAAGTGAATGCAGCTATGTTTTTGTGGGGGTAAAAGCCAAGAATCAGTTCAAATTAAACTGGTACAAGCTGCATTCGTTAAACTGTTTGAGGAATTGGGTTCAGGGCATTGCATGTTTTCAGCGAGATGTTCAGCGTTGTTTTATAAAAAGATATCAGATAGACGCAAATGTGTAATACAGTTTTGTTACATTTAGATTCCCGTTAATCTGTGTAGGTACTAGTTTAGTTCTAAAATAAGTATCTGTTTAAAAGTCTCTTGTTGCTCATTGATGTTTCATGTTACTTCTCTTCCCCTTTGAGTTATACCTTTTTTTAAATTGATTTTACTATATATTTTCTCATAGAAGTCTTATCAAAAAGTACACTTGGAAATGAGTTTTGATAAATGATATTCTAATGGAATAAAATTTCTCAGTTTGGTCGCAAAAAGAAAAAGTATAGAGGGAAGCCGGTTGGTCCTGCATCTATCTTGAAGGAAGTAGAAGATAAAGAATCTGAAGGGGAAGATGAGGAGGATGAGGATGAAGATCTTTCCAAATATAAATTGGATGAGGTACTGTGTGTTGTTTTGTTTTTGCTAGCACCTGTTTTTAACAGTTACTATAGTGTAGTTTCATAGTAGTAGCTCAAGTTTGGGCAGTGTTCTCAGCTGCCCGTACAGCAGTGTGGAGGAATAGCTAAGAGGATAATGGTACCTGGTGCTTCTGGAAAGTGTGCGCATCTGAACTCTGTAGCATGAGAAGTTAAAAGCTTACGTGGGATCTGAATCCAGCCTGTTGACATCGTTAATGGGAGCCTTTCTGTATGGTTAACCTATAGATGGCAGCATTCTTGAACTTTATTCACAGTCTTTTAAAATCACGGACTTCATTTTTAGTTATAAAACTGAAATTTTTCAGAGTTTTTTCATCTTTTTTGAAGTGCCTTGTATCTGCATGTTTCAGGATGAGGATGAAGATGATGCTGACCTTTCAAAATATAATCTTGATGCTAGTGAAGAAGAGGACACTAATAAGAAAAAGAAATCCAATAGACGCAGTCGTTCTAAGTCTCGATCTTCCCACTCACGATCTTCATCACGCTCATCCTCCCATTCAAGCTCAAGGTCTAGGTCCAGGTAAACGGGTACAGGTCAAGGGTAACGCCAGGCAAAATGTCAGTATCTAACTTCTTTATTTACTTTTTTTTTTTCTTGATTACCTTACAGTTTTAGTTTAATAATGATAACAATTTTATGTACAGAATTTACACAGGTAGATAAGGTTCTGTCCTGGCCTCCTGGGATCCTCAATAGGAAGGCTTCATATGTCTTGCTGCTTGTTTTAGTAAATTAAGTTGATGTTTCAATTGAATGCTTGAAATAAGTTTAAAAAAATAAAAACTATTGCTTTCAAACTTATTTTTAGGCTTGTTGGCCCTATGTCATTAAATGGATGCACTTTTTGAGTAATACTGAATAGAGCTGTTGAATGGAGAAGCAGGAGAATTGTCAAAGTGGGAGGAAGCAGCAGAAGAGGGCAGTGATGCAGTGTGGACAGATTCAGTGAAAGGACTGAATGGAAATAAAGACAAGGAACTTGAACTTAATTTGATGGGAAGAGGCAAGACTTCAAGCACAGTGGCAGTACTGCCAGAATCACAGGAAAGGTTTATATTGGTCATGGGGCCACAAAAAAAATCCGATGGGTAGATTTAAGAGATCAGATGCTATTAAATTCAGTAATACATGAACAATTCAATATATGTTTCATAATCAAATTCTATAAAGCAAGTTGCAGCTCTCTAGCTGCCCCACAGCTCATATAAGGATGATATTAATTAATAGGTTTAACACTTCAAATTAGTACTAGCATATGGTGTTACACAGAAAGTTCACATACGTCAAGTTCAAGTTTCTTCTCATCTTCCTAGCTGTGTAACTGCACCTCTCTGCTCTAACCGCTCAGATCACTGCCCGGCTTCCTTCATACTAACCAGACGTCAGCTACTCTGTTTTGTGTTTTTCTCCCCGTTGCTATTATGCTTTTCTTCGTGCTGCCTCTTCTATAAGAAATGATGTTCTTGAGAATAGCTGTTGTCCACCTCCCCGCTCCTTCGGATGCCTTCTTGAAACTAGCTAGTATTTGCCACGTGGTTTCAAGGAGCACTTTGAATATTGGTGACTAAGCTGATGGGCTGTCAGCAATTTTTACAAAGCGAGGTGTGCAAGAAGATACTGTCGCCTCTTTGGGGAAGTGGCTGTGCTGTCCTCTGTGTGGCCATTATGCAGCCAATATGGGCTGTAGTTGAGGGCCGTTCTTAGATTTAGGGGTGGGATGTTCAAAGATAATACAAGAACTTCATCTGACCATAACCTTGTTTATTCATTCACAAATCTTAACAGTGAAGCAAAAAGTTCTCTGATTTATCTGAAATTTATTAGGGAATCTTTGAACTCTTTGAAATGCCTCTAGTAACATAAATCATTGACAGTATCGGGTGTCTTTTATGACATATTTATGAGATACTGCTAACCTTTTTAAAAAGGTTTAAATATATTTTCTAGTTAGAAAGCATGTATTCATACTGCTTTTGTTTTGCAGAGTAAAATGAAAAGTACTTGGTAACAATATATACTGGGAGACTGAATGCATGTATATACTATTTTGCCCAAAAAGATTATTAGAATTTGATTGTAATGTCTACTTTTTACAATTGTTACTGAAAGTCCAGTACCGTTTTTATATATCTCTTATGGTTTGTGCCTTAAAGAAACACTATCGACATGAAAAATTAGAAAAGGATTCTATCTCTACTTACAAGTAGCGTTAGACCTGTCCATATTTTAGCCAAGAATTAAGTATTTAATTTTTTATAACGCCTTAATTTTTAGTGCAGAGGAAAATCTTTACGAAAACTTGAAACAGTTTACAAGATGTTTGAGAACTGACTTGGAGAAAATTTGAGCTAATCCTAATACTCTTAATCTGGTTTTCAAAGAAGCTGATGGTTTCCGATTAAGGCACAAATTAAAAGAAAAGGCATTGGTTTCAGGAAATAGTAAATGGCTATGCAGTTGCTTGATTCATTTTGCCAAATAACTGCAAACCTCTTCGATTTTTTTTGCGTTTTTTTAGGAAACAATAAAAACAGACTTTATATATTTTTGAATGCACCTTCTTCCTATGTTTCTGTTTTCAAGTGTAATGAGAAGTTGAAGGAATGGGGGAAATTGTCATTTGTTTAGTGAATCTAGGCCCAAATGTCTTTATGCGTAGGAAACTGTTGACTTTACTGCTGATGCTAGTAGTTATTCCGCTAAACGCAAGAAAAAGAAAAACAATACCATTTTTCAGAAATTACCAGGAATAAAGACTATTGTTTCAAACTCTTATTAGGCAAAATTCTGTATTTAGTTTCAGAGCAACCTTTGTGTATCCCAGAGCTGTTCAGATATTGGAAAAAAATCTTCCCTGTTGTTTCAGGTCCCATTCAAGAAGTTCTTCCAGTTCCAGATCAAGATCTCGTTCCAGCTCCAGAGAACATTCTAGATCTCGGGGGTCGAAATCAAGGTGAATGAGGTAGCATTCTCTCCTTGCAGAGAGGAAAAAAGGGCAGAAGAACCAACCGCTTGTTTATTTCATCGTAAAATTATGCTGATCAAAAAACATTAACTCATTTTTATCTTGGAAGTCAGAATTCCTGGGGTCTCTGCACGAGATTGTTACCACTACTAATGTATTTCTTGAGAATGCGAGGTTTGATTTGAAGAGTTTAAGTCTGATCTAAAGCTAGACGAGTGGACTCCACAGATCTTCACTTTGAAGGAAGAAGAATCTGAATGCATGTTTACTTGCTTCAGTAATTTTTGCTCTGTTTTTACTGTTTCCACTTTGGCTATTTGATGTGGAAGAACATTAGAAAATACGCCATACTTCTGGTTTTATTGTGTTTAGTGAGAACATACTTAACTTCCACTAGATAGTGCTGCAGTTATCTGTATAAACGTGGGGAAAAAATGTTTGAAAGTGTTGGGACAGTTAATCATGTGGGACGTGCACAGGAGTTTGAGTTAGCTGATGTTTTCTGTATAGCAGTTGCTGAACTGTACAGGAAAGACTAACAAAACCATATAAATTCCTTGAGGTGTCCTTACGCAGGCATCCTGGTGGCAGAACTTTTCTTTTGCAAAATGGAATGAAGATCCCGTTCCTTTCCCATGCACGTAGAGAACCTTAAACTGTAAAATAAGGAAAAGAAATTTAAGTTGTGAAAGAAAACCAACCAGAAATAGTGCTACCGCTCGTTGGTGGCAAAAGCATTCTGTGGATGATGAGGCGCGGATCAGTGCGAGGAGAGTCCATGCTTTCCGGAAGAGAAAATTGTGCATGTGCCCCCTCTAGATTCTGAAATGACTTGTCAGATGTCTTGGGTTATTTGCTTGTGCCACACGGCGTCCACCAAGGGTCCTCAGTGTATTAGCTTGTTTGAAATAGGAAAGTGCTTTATTATTTACAACAAGAACCCTGAAGATGTTTGACCAACAACATGCACTTGTGTTTTTCAAAATGTTTTGCCAGCTTACTGGAAAAAAGCACTGTTAAGTGCTTTTACATAATTGTGGAATTAGAGTTTAGGACTTTCTAGCTCTATTACCTTATTATTAAAACCTCCCAAAGCTATTTTTTTCCCTCAGATAACAAAAGTGATTTTTGAGTGCTGTAAGTGAAAGTGGTTCATCTGTTGTAAATGCCAAAATGACTGTATTTCAAAAGTGGGTTTTTTGCTTTTTGCTTTTTGCTTTGTTTGTTTGTTTTTACTATTTTGGTTTTGGAAAGTCTTACTACTTACCCAAATTTACTTTGATATTTGTAAATATATGTTCTGAGGGCTTTTCCAAGTCTAGTCAAGATAAAGACTACTTTTATGAGTAAAGTTCCAATGTGAAATATCCTTTAATTCAGAGTGAAACACTGTTAAATTAGTATTACATCTGTCATTCTCAAACCTTTGTGCTTTGTGAATTGGATTACTGAGGAAGATCCTTACATAGGCTGTGTCCTGCCCCAGTCTCCCATAGCTTGTTATCAGAATGCCTAATTATGGAGAATGCTGGAAAGGGGTTTCCAAACCATTGCTGGTCTGTATGTTGAGAAATACTATTTAGCAAAATTTATTAAGAGAGCTACCAAACCAGTAGAAGTCTTTTTTGGCAGTTAACTAAGGAGTAAGTATTAAAACATCCACAAACGTCTTTCAAAGAACACTGATGTAAATAGAGTAGCAGGTGTTAATGAAAATGTCTCTTTGTTCTTTATTTGTTCTTTCTGTATTATACCAGAATTAAATCTGATTTATTTCTTAATCAATAAAGATCCAGCTCCAGGTCCTACAGGGGGTCTTCAACCCCAAGAAAAAGATCTTACTCAAGCTCTCGTTCATCATCTTCCCCTGAGAGAAGCAGGAAGCGAAGTCGTTCTAGATCTTCTTCATCTGGTGATCACAAAAAAAGACGATCGAGATCACGGTCACCCGAAAGGTTTGGGTTTATGTAGAATAAGAATGGGTGTATTTAAATATGTGATTTTTTTTTTTTTTCTGAAGGACTGAGATTCACTAGGGAAAAAAAATTGAGCCTGATCAGTTATTCTGATATTAGAAGTAGTTGTCTTTTTTCTATTACTTTCTTTTAAAGCCTCTGTAATCACTTTCTTTTTTTAATGAAACTTCCTCCTGTTAGGAGCATGTTCCGTAGAAAGACCTGGTCACTACTCTTGCAGCGTGTGAAAGCTTTAACATGTATATCATTGATTTATTGTCATAAGCAATATTGCACTTAGAAATTGTATTCTACTTTCACTATTAAATTTACTATACAATTTTAGTATTAAATTCACATTCATGAGCTTAAAGTGGTTTAAAATTACTCTTATAATAAGGCCCCTATTAAATATACTTGGCTTCCAGCTATTATAGGATACAGACTACTCAAGGTGGATGCTAAAATTAATTTCAACTTATGTCTTTGCATGCTTTCTCCATTTATATCTTACAGACGCCGCAGATCGTCATCTGGATCTTCCCATTCTGGTTCCCGTACAAGTTCTAAAAAGAAATAATGTATTAAAGCTCACATTTGGAAAAAAAAAAAAAAATCCAGTCAGTGCATGAGACATATTTTTAAGAAGTTGGTGTCTTACTTGGTCAGAAGTGCTGAATCTGCTAGTAGAGGTGCATGTCTGTCCTTGCTTTCTGGAAAACTGCAGCTTTGTTCATTCACAAAACAAAAAGTGAGGTAGCATTTTAAGCCATAAACTCCCCAGAGGGGGTGTGAAGTTTTATTGTTTGAGTAAGGGGGTTTTTTATTATTTTTAAAGACTCAGTTACTCTATTCCTGGCTCTCTTATGTATGAGCAGACATGGGTTGGATCTGTTGTTCTAATACGACTCTACTCTTCATGTGGCAATTCAAAAAATGTCTGAGGATATGGGAGGAACCCTTGAACTTTCAGCATCTAACTCCTGAGCTGCTTTAATGGGTACCTCTTATGGTACCTCTGAGCTGCTTTAACGGTACCTCTTATGGGACCAGAAAAGATTAGTGTAGCTGTAGGGCTAATACAACCCATAGGATTACAGTAGTAAGTTTTGAAGCTTAATTTTTTTTTTTCCTGTGTTGAAGTAAAAATATAGCTGAATGCCCCCTTTTTTCTTTTTAGCCAGGTTTAGTGCAGAATAGCTGTTAAATATCCAGTCCATCATATGATTCTGTAGAGAGTGATTTAGACTTTGTTCCTTCAGTGTGAGGACTTTCAAGTCGTGGGGCACTAGCCTCTCTATTGCTCAGATCTCAAAGCTGCCAGTGCCCCTCACTGTATTTGTTGCTGTCAGCCAAGCGTACTTGCTACAGTGAGGTACTGGGTACAGTTTTTTCACATGCATGGATTCTGGATTTTGTGACCCTTCCTTATAAAGGGATCGCTTAGGAACTGTTCTTGAGGTGGAGAAATATGGAACTAGCTTCTTGGAATCAAGTGAAATTTCTGCAGGCCATCTGTAAAATTAATTTTAGGCTGACCAAAATTTTCAAGGTTTCTGAATTTTCTTTAAAAACGAAAAATAAACTGTAGAAAGTTCTGACATCTTAAATGTGTTTTTCAATCATTCTTGTTCCTCAAACATGTATAATTTATGGCTTAAAATGCTTTATGGACTTAATTTTAATAGCAATATCACAATAAAACTTGGTCACTCTTGAGCTCCGTTTGGTTAAGAAAGGTTTAAGTATCTTCAGTGCCATCACAAGGTAAGTATGTTAAGGAAAACTCTTATTTTAAAGCAAGCAAAGAGCAATATATCTGCAGTTACTTCAGTAGTAAAATTTCCAAACCCTTATTTGATAGCTGCTTTCGTAAAATGAACTGCACAAAACAAACGGAGCAAAATTTCCTTCTGCTTTTTTTTGTTTTGTTGTTTTGTGGGTTTTTTTTTTTTTTATTTTAGAAACAAACTTCTTTGGACTGGTATATAAGCAAAGTGGTTTTGGTGAAGAAATATTTTGATAATCTTGCAGAAAAACACCCTGCAATTTCTTTAGTATTTTCTTTTATATCTATTTTCCTTGCTAAGTATGTGTAGATTGCACAAGAACAGGTTAGTCTTGTAACTGTGCCTCTGACTTCTTTAAAGTCCACCTACTAAATTGTAAAAATCAGACCTAATAGATGCTATGTTGTTACCTTTTGTTTTTTTTCCTTGTGCTTTGTAATAGAATTGTTGCTGTACTTAACAGATGGAAGTTTTTAAATTTAGCAAATGGTAGGCTACAGACAAGGGAAAATTATGGTTTCATTTGGCTTAGATGAAATGTAAGACAAAATGATTCTGTAGACGAGTGTAAATAAAACCTGTGAGTCAATGGTGCAGTGAGTGCTTTCTCTTAGAAACATAAGCAAATCTTTCTTAATAACCTATACTAACAGTTAGATGTTTTTTTTTGTCCTCTGTTACTGCAGTGCAAGACTGGCTGTATGTCCAATAACCTGGCTGTATGTATCACAAATTTTCAAATTGTTTCAGTTCCTTAAGTATTGAAAATATTTTGCGATTTAAACAGCAGCATGTTTCATATGAGCTTTCTTAAAATTTCAGGTTATTCCCTTCTGTATATATTCCATATCTGCTTTTCAGAAAGTTTTTAAAGGAAGCAATATCAAACCTTTTATTTTTTCATTATTAGATTTCTAAATAAAAAGGCAGAGCAACTGTGATATATCCTTGCATGCCTGTTACAAACCACACAATACCTATTTTTAGTTACTGAATCAGCAAATAAATGGAGTGTCAGATTGGAGCACAGTCCACCGCTGATAAAACACAAAGATAAATTAAGATTAGGTAGTATAAAGGTGTTCAGGTGTTTGTGGTTTTTCTGGGGTGTTTTTTGGAGGGGGAGACGGGAGCGGGGAGGAACGACACTCACCTCTAGCAGCCTAGGACACGTTTTAAATTTCACCTTGGGAAATATTTCCCTTTAGGGAAAAATAAATTGATGCCTATAGAATTAAACAGGTATTTCTGAGCAGCTACATCAAAATCTGTGAAATCTATATGGCCGAGAAGGAAGAGTTTTGATTAGGTTAAGTTTAGCTTATGTGCTTTCCAATGAAAAATTAAACACTTTCATGAATTATAATGTTGTTTTGTGTAAACTTTCTTCTTGTAGTAGCTGAAAACTAGAAAGTGAGTCGAAATTAAAACAGACTAGCCTTTAATTTTATTCAACTTGGCAATAAAATAAAATCCATTGCTGAAAAACAACTCTTCTATTCTTTTAGTAATTCAAGTTCGGTATTTAATTATTAATAAAAAGCTTTGAAATGTAGAAGGCAGTGTGTCTTAAAATTAAGATTCCTTAATTTCCACACCAGGGGACTAACACTTGTGCACTTTTGTCGACTATAAGTAACTATGATGAATCACCTGAGATTAAATAGTTGCTGTGTTAGGTCTCATTTCTCAATAACCCTCAAACTTCTTACTTAAAATGAAATATTGCAAGTTGGTTACTATGCCTTGTAAATTTTTAACATTTTCATCCTTGTTTAGTGCATTAAGCATTTGATCGTTTGCCATGCCTTGTTTTGTTTGTTTGTTTTAGCATGTTGCAGCATGGGCTTGTTAGATCAGGCAGTGTTGTATTTGTGCCGGGCAGGCCAGCTTTGGAAATGATAGCATTCTAAATTCAGCAGTGCTATCATCAGTCCACCTTTTGGGAATAATAAATATAAATAACATTTAGCAGTGATAAATAACATTAAGATTGTTAAGGACACTTACTTAAAACATTTTTGCTAAGTTCAGTACAGCACTGCTAAACAAATGTTGAAAAAACAACTTGTAAAATACCAAGTAGCGCAGAATAACTTTTAAGTAGTAGTAGCAGTAGCGTACTACACTTGGTACGTTTTGTCCAAGTATCATAAAGCTTCTTAAAAGGAAATTTTGAAAGCTGAGAACTTAACTATCAAGTGCTGCTTTCCCAGAGTCATACAGTAAGTGAATTGAGTTTTTGGAATTAGAAGTTTCATTCTCCTTAATCATCTCATTTTAACTGGTAATACAACAGTTTGCTGTTGTCTTCCACTAAGAAACACTTAAGGCTCAAGTCCCTTTCACCTTAAATGAGCAACTGAGTTACCAAAGCCCTAAAGTGAATATTTATGGAACCAGATGCAATTTTTAATTATGCCATGGATTTTTTTTTGGTTTTTTTTTTTTTTTGGACTAGTGTTACTTGCATTGCCCTCTACACTAAATCTCAGTTTGATGCAGTTGTTGAGAAACTGTCATCCTTTCAGCATTTAAATTCTCAAGAGTGGTTGATAACTGATCTAGTACGCGGCATGAAGTAACTGCATTCCCAACTGGCATAGGCTGCCCACACACAGAGACTTAGTAGTAAGTACTTGGTGTGGAAGCTGCATGTGAAGCTTTCTCTCTTTGCAAGATAAGGAAGAAAAAGATAATCAAACCTAGACATCTGAATAATAAATAACTAGCGCATTGATTCAGAAACTTGAATGCCTAGCCTTGTTACTGCTTGGTAGCGTCTGTCTTCACATTAGCAATTACACAATTTACAAATACATTATAAAGCCATATTAACCTTACTGCTATTTGAAGAGCCACGTAAAACAAGGAATGCTATTATTATTAGAGTCTGAGAGTTTCCCTCAGCCCCATTAATCAGAAGTAACATGACCTAATAATTGGGGTTTTTTGAAGTATAAAACTTCATAAATAGTTGGACAAACTTTTCCAAAATAGAAGTTTGGGGGG